TTTCTTCACGCCCAGAAGGTGGAATCGAACCACTCTGACTCTCATCAGCTACGGGTTTTGAAGCCCGCACACCGGACCACCGATGATCATCTGGGCAAAAACAGCCATTGCTCGCTACCATTTATAACAAAGCTTCATTATTAACTTAAAAATAGTGGTTGAAATCATATTCTGAACCTCTTCCGTTCGCTTTAATAAATTTACTGTATTTAGATATCAACCCGATTATAAAAGTAAAATAATTTGGTCTTATATTGCCGTGTTGTTTAAATTGAAATTTCTCACACTGTGGCTGGTATAAAAATAGGATGCTGTTTCCATCATAAATAATGAATTTGAAAAAACATTTTCGTCAGATTCAATAAGATAAATTCGTAAAGCATGAAAAATTAATTTGCGTAATGACGTTCCAATATCCAACTTAAAACGCTTACGTAAGTAGTTTTCACATACTTTATAAAGCTAAGCAATGAGACACTATTGAATCATTTCTAAATTAAATGCTTATTAATAGAACGAACGAATCTTTAAAACAGAAGAAAAATGCATCTTATAATTCTAATACATGTTGACACATAGTCTTTGGGAATAAAGGTACTGTTTTCAAAGCAAAAAAAAAAATTATGTTTTCGAAATCAGATAAAAATATTCCTAAAGAATTTCTTCACGCCCAGAACGTGGAATCGAACCACTCAAACTCCTCATCAGCTACGGGTTTGAAGCCCGGACAACGGACCACCGATGATCATCTGGGCAAAAACAGCCATTGCTCGCTATCATTTATAACAAAGCCTCATTTTTATTAACTTAAAAATAGTGGTTGAAAACATATTCTGAACCCTTCCGTTCGTTTTAATAAAATTTACTGTATTTAGATATCAACCCGATTATAAAAGTACAATAATTTGGTCTTATATTGCCGTCGTCTAAATTGAAATATTTCTCAAACTGCTGGTATAAAAATAGGATGCTGTTTCCATCATAAATAATGAATGTGGAAAAACATTTTCGTCAGGATTCAGTAAGATAAATTCGTAAAGCATGAAAAATGAATTTGCGTAATGATGTTCCAATATCCTGCCATAAAAACGCTACGTAGTTTTACATACTTTATAAAAGCTACGCGCAATGAGACACTATTGAATCATTTCTAACTTAAACGCCTATTAATAGAACGAACGAATCTTTAAAACAGAAGAAAAAAATGAATCTTATAATTCTAATACATAATGACACATAGTCTTTGGGCATCAAGGTACTGTTTTCAAAGCAAAAAAGAAATATATATTATGTTTTCGAAATCAGATAAAATATTCCTTAAAGAATTTCTTCACGCCCAGAAGGTGGAATCGAACCACTCTGACTCTCATTAGCTACGGGTTTGAAGCCCGCACACCGGACCACCGATGATCATCTGGGCAAAAAACAGCCATTGCTCTCTTACCATTTATAACAAAGTTCATTATAAAACTTAAAAATAGTGTTGAAAACATATTCTGAACCCTTCCGTTTCGCTGTAATAAAATTTACTGTATTTAGATATCAACCCGATTATAAAAGTAAAATAATTTGGTCTATATTGCCGTTGTCTAAATTGAAATTTTCCTCCAAACTGCTGGTATAAAAATAGGATGCTGTTTCCATCATAAATAATGAATTTGGAAAAACATTTTCGTCATAATTCAATAAGATAAATTCGTAAAGCATGAAAAATTAATTTGCGTAATGATGTTCCAATATCCAACTAAAAACGCTTACGTAAGTAGTTTTCTCATAATTTTTATAAAAGCTACGCAATGAGGCACTATTGAATCATTTCGAACTTAAACGCCTATTAATAGAACGAAAGAATCTTTTTAAAACAGAAGAAAAAAAATGCATCTTATAATTCTAATACATGTTGACACATAGTCTTTGGGAATAAAGGGTACTGTTTTCAAAGCCAAAAAGAAAAAATTATGTTTTCGAAATCAGATAAAATTATTCCTTAAAGAATTTCTTCACCCCAGAAGGTGGAATCGAACCACTCTGACTCTCATCAGCTACGGGTTTGAAGCCCGCACACGCAGACCACCGATGATCATCGGGCAAAACGGACATTGTCTCTCTACCATTATCAAAAGCTTCATTATTAACTTAAAAATAGTGGTTGAAAACATATTTAAACCCCCTTTCGCTTAAGCTTTGAATTTACTGTATTTAGATATCAACCTGATTATAAAATAAAAATAATTTGGTCTTATATTGCCGTTGTCTAAGGTGAAATATTTCTCAAACTGCTGTGGTAGAAAATAGGATGCTGTTTCCATCACTTCCAAAAATGAATTTGGAAAACACATTTTCGTCAAATTCATTAAGATAAATTCGTAAAGCATGAAAAACTAAATTTGCGTAATGATGTTCCAATATCCAACTAAAAACGCTTACTTAAGTAGTTTTCACATACTTTATAAAGCTACGCAATGAGACACTATTGAATCATTTCTGAACTTAAACGTCTATTAGTAACGGAAAAGAATAATATTTGAAAACAGAAGAAAAAATGCATCTTGGTACTTCAATACATGTTGACACACATAGTCTTTGGAATACAATACTGTTTTCAAAGCCAAAAGAAAATTATGTTTTTCGAAATCAGATAAAAACATGCCCTTTAAAGAATTTCTTTCACGCCCAGAAGGTGGAATCGAACCACCGCCACCTCATACCGCTACGGGTTTCAAGCCCGCACCGGACACCGATGATCATCTGGGCAAAACAGCCATTGTTCTCTACCAGTTTATCACAAAGTCATTATAAACTTAAAAATAGTGGTTGAAAACATATTTCTTGAACCCTTCCGTTCACTTTAATAAAATTTACTGTATTTAGATATCAACCCGATTATAAAAGTAAAATAATTTGGTCTTATATTGGCGTTGTCTAAATTGAAATATTTCTCAAACTGCTGGTATAAAATAGGATGCTGTTTCCATCATAAATAATGAATGTAGAAAAAAACATTTTCGTCAGATTCAATAAGATAAATTCGTAAAAGCATGAAAAATTAATTTACGTAATGATGTTCCAATATCACATAAAACGCTTACGTAAGTAGTTTTCACATAATTTTATAAAGCTACGCAATATGAGACACTATTGAATCATTTCTAACTTAAACGCTTATTAATAGAACGAACGAATCTTTGATAACAGAAGAAAATTGCATCTTATAATTCTAATACATAATGATACATAGTCTTTGGGCATAAAGGTACTGTTTTCAAAGCAAAAAGAAATATATATTATGTTTTCGAAATCAGATAAAAATATTCCTTTAAGAATTTCTCTTCACGCCCAGAAGGTGGAATCGAACCACTCTGACTCTCATCAGCTACGGGTTTGAAGCCCGCACACTGACCACCGATGATCATCTGGGCAAAACACAGCCATTGCTCTCTACCATTTATAACAAAGCTTCATTATAAACTTAAAAATAAAAGCTGAAAACATGTCTTAAAAACCTTCCGTTCGCTTTTAATAAAATTTACTGTATTTAGATATCAACCACATTATAAAAGTAAAATAATTTGGTCTTATATTGCCGTTGTCTAAATTGAAGAGCCAAACTGCTGGTATAAAAATAGATGCTGTTTCCATCATAAATAATGAATTTGGAAAAAAAACATTTTCGTCAGATTCAATAAGATAAAATTCGTAGCATAAAACACTTCGCGTAATGATGTTCCAATATCCTACATAAAACGCTTTACGTAAGTAGTTCTCAAGCATAATTTTTGTATAAAAGCCGCCGCAATGAGACACTATTGAATCATTTCTTAACTTCAAACGCCTGCCAATAGAAACGAACAATCTTTAAACAGAGAAAAATGCATCTTATAATTCTTAATACATATGACACATAGTCTTTAGCATAAAGGCAATTGTTTTCAAAGCAAAAGAAATACATATTATAAGCTGAAATCAGATAAAAATATTCCCAAAAGAATTCCCTTCTCACGCGCAGAAGGTGGAATCGCAAACCACTCTGACTCTCATCAGCTATGGGTTTAAAGCCTGCACACTGACCACCGATGATCATCTGGGCAAAAACAGCCATTGCTTCGCTACCATTTATAACAAAAGCTTCTGCTTGTTAACTTAAAAATAGTGTTGAAAACATATGCCTCTGAACCCTTCCGTTCGCTTTAATAAAATTTACTGTATTTAGATACAACCCGATTATAAAAAGTACAATAATTTGGTCTTGCTATTGCCGTTGTCTAAATTGAAATTTCCACAGACTGTATTGGTATAAAAATAGGATGTTTCATCATAAATAATGAATTTGGAAAACATTTTCGTCAGATTCAATAAGATACCTGTAAAGCATGAAAAATTAATTTAATGATGTTCCAATATCCAACAAAACGCTTACTTAAGTAGTTCGCTATTAATTTTTATAAAGCTATCGCAATGAGACACTATTGAATCATTTCTAACTTAAACGCCTATTAATAGAACGAACGAATCTTTAAAAACAGAGAAAAAATGCATCTTATAATTCTAATACATAATGACACATAGTCTTTTGGGCATAAAGGTACTGTTTTCAAAGCAAAAAGAAATATATATTATGTTTTCGAAATCAGATAAAAATATTCCTTAAAGA